TATGGCGCTACATTGAAAACGTTTTGCAGAGTCGACCCCGAATACAAAAAAGTTCGAAAGTGAAATTCCATTTTCAACGTTGAAAACAAATGAACTAGACTACGAGTAGTAACAGAATTTTATAGCTACGGAATTTAATTGTAGAGAACTGAATTTGAGTGCAATATTCTGTTCTCAAATTGGGTTTTTGCATTACTTTTCAGCAATCTTTAAATGTCAGAAAAAGGGTAATAAAACTTCATCGTCGGCTAGGTATGTGTTTTTTTTCAGTCTTTCACCGAAAGTGACACATCACATCGCGCTTGTTCCCCTTTCGAAAATGGGGGTTAAAACTAACCTGTATTTTGTATTGGTATTACTGGTATTTAACTATTTCTATACTAAATTTCATCAAAATTACTTCAGCTATTTAAGTGTGAGGTGGCACGTAAAAGCAGACAGACAGAATTACTTTCGCTTTTATAATATTCGAGACTACATATTAAATAACATAACGATGATTGTGTTGATTCAAACAAACACCTGCAACATAATTTGTATAGGTAGTTAATATGTCGATAAAAATTTAATATACATAAATTGTTAATGTTTAAGGTTATTGATGCTTTAGGCTATAGGTTATGAATGAACAGGTGGTGTAACGACTATAAATATATCAAGTCGTAAAACTAGTAGTATTTTATCACATATAATATATCTATCACCTAACGGTTTCTTGCTTTACTATGGTCTAAAAACAGAATAAGGAAAACCCACAATTCATTAGTTGTACCGAATTAAAAACTACGCTCTAAATACGGACGACCGTTCAATTTTTTGTCTGCTAATCTTAATGTAGGCCCACACGCAATATTGATGCAGTAGCCCCAAGCAATTTTACAGATGAATCTTGTTCTCAACTTTGGTGTCCTTTTTAGTTCACTTGGTGCAAACATAACGGCATTTCAAAACGGTTGAAAATCATGTACTTAATTTAATTTTCATACTAGCTCACAGTCAGGTTAAATTTTTTTTAGTAATTTTAGAGAAGAGTTGACGACCTGATAATGGTAGCAGGAAGCCGCTGGATGCAGGCCGCTACCAACCGTGCGGTGTGGAAGTCATTGGGGAAGGCTTATGTTCAGCAGTGGACGTCCTGTGGTTGAAATGATGATGATGATGAGAGAAGATCAAGTTAAGATCGAGGGTTCAATTAATGTGGGTTAGAATTTTTCAAGTCGTGTCATGTAGAGCTTTTATATTTCGTTGCATATTAGTGAGCCCACTGCATTCATGTATTGTATGCCAGTCATCATGTCTGTATTAATTTGACAGGCCGAGCAATGAATGTGCAATTATTTTACAATTACACCCAGCTGTTATGTTATTTACTGTAAAAGAGATTGGACTTAAATATACGCTACGAATTGTGAATACAGATACGCAAACCTAATTGTTGGTATTGTTATTGTTATAGCTAGTTTTAACTAACAAACATAATGTTTACTTTCAATTTGGTGAAACAAACATAAATTAATTAGTTTTCTACTCATTGTATTGAGTCTGGCGTTAAACAAACAAAAGCCTTTAAACTTAATACACCATAAAAGCTTCGATACATTAAAGCTTTGTTAGATCTACATAATACTCGTTTACTGAAGCACCAACAAACCAGGTAAAAATCTTATGGACAGAAACGTACGTAAGATTTCTTGATTTCAATCCTCTTCATTTAACAACAATCGTCAAATTGTAGTATTCGGGGTAGCACATGAAATGGTAGCACATGAAATGGCCATGATGAAAGATTGTTTTGTCAGAAACAAAATATGCAATAAAGCATCTCGAGGATTCTTTAAAACTGCAGGTATATGCCATTGCAGCAACAAAATCCCTGTTCCAGTATTATACTAAACTTTCAAGAACCGCGGTTCGGGCCGTCTTTCAATATTGCCCGGAGACAAGCTAAGAAATACATATGGAAATGGAAACTGGGGAACTAAGAGATTCAATTATTCTTGGAAAAATATTTCCATTTTTCCAGATGCTGTTTTTCTCCAAGCGCTTTGATAGCTAAACAAAAAGACTGAAAAGAATGGTATCTGCATGTGACTGAAACTTGTTTTTTATAATTTGAGCTTTATGATGCTCTAAGATGCTTAAATCTAGAAACTCAGAATTGTCAGATACCTACTACACAACTTTGGTGATCGTCACTAAAATTTGCTATGTCCATCCGTGGATTTTTTTTGCAACAAAATTAAAAAAAAAAATTAACCGCACTTCTCTAAAAGTGTACCTGAATAACGTAGGTATCTAAATACTCTGTATAATACAGCTTTTAAAGTTAAACAAAAACTAAGGAAGCTCTTATCTGCTTTACTAAAAGTAGTTAACGAACTTTAGCTTGGTAACGGCGCTGCAGCGGATAGCGTTCACACTTTATTAGGGCTACAGTTATTTGCTGTGACTTTTTCGCGTATAGCAGAAACGGGGCAAAATGCAGTATAAACCGGCATACAAAATGTCTAAAATGATACAACGGTCCGTAGGATTCTTGTACAGCCAACTTTTGTAGCAAATAGCATCTATTATAACTATAAAAGTTACCGCTGTGTTTAGACTGTCGTCCGTTTACAAAGTAATACAATAGGTAGTGTCGCGGTTTCATTTCGTTGTTTTGTTAGTTCATAAACGGATTCTCACTTATGATTGTTGTTATGACTATTGTATTTAGGAGGCTGAAAAATCTCAAACATTATTTTCATTAACAAAATCTATGGTCCCAGATGAAACTCTCATTCCTAACCACTGAGCTACAGAGGAAAAGAAATAAAAAGCCTCTCTAACTTTTCCATGAAAGTAGTAACAGGATGAAAAGTTCTGAAAAGTGGTTCTAGAACCTACCAGAAAACTATACAGTACAAAATCACGAGCATTACAATTTCAAAGATTAGTTTTTTCACCACAGAATTGAATAAAATAGAGTAAGGCCTCTACTGAATTAAGTAGTATCTTGACCTATATGACCTTGATTATTTTTGTTTAAACTATGCAAAGGTCTTTTTGTTTAACAGTATCCTATTTCAGAGTATTTTTCGTCCGATGTCAGATTTCAAACAGCAAAGTTAATTTCGCTCCTGTCTCCATACGCTTTTATAGTAACTGCCTTTATGGGCGAGTTCGATTGCGGACGTTTCCTTATCGTTTTCGAATTGTCTCTAAACGCTGAGCATCACTATCATTATGCTAGCATGACTCCATTTGCTCGCTGTCTAAGAAAAGTCATATAAATTTTATGTCTTACGTATGCCTACCACTATTTTCCTACCCATAATGTAGATATCTTCTTATACGAATGTTGTAGAAGGTTTATTGATAAGCATGAGCAGGTTGTTTTTGTATTTGTTTAGGGATCGCAGATACACCTACCTACATACATTTAACCAATTTTACCTAGTATTAGTAACTTCAGTTACTACTAATTTCTTTTAATTTAGTAACTTCAGTTAATCCAGTCATGAATTTTTCGGAGCTTCCAAGCATCATCTAGATAGGTACCTACCAGCACAATTTTCTGAGTAAGATCTTTAATATTATACTTATTTAATCTAAATTGAGCACTCATAAAGAGGGACTGTTACAACTTTATACTGCCAACAAACAACCTAAAAATAATTTTAATTTTTTATCTTCCCCCAATGATGTCGCCGACCTTTTCATCACACTCCTATCGTAAATCCCGTCACAATGACATTCTTATTAAACTTTCCTTTTCTTATTAACCGAGCCCGGGGTCATAATTTACGCGCTGCGACCTCAATGCGGTCCTGGATGACGGATGGGTATCTATCCCGGACGATATCCTAGCGATATGCCCGCCTCCCCGGGTCAGACTTGTTTTATATAAAACATCTGTAGGCCGGGGTTTGGTACGAGCGGGGGCTAACATGATTGCACCCTTATGAATTTCAAATTCTACTACCCTAGACTCTATCTACGCATAACGTAACCTTAGGTTGGGGATAAATGCCTGCCTTTAGTCAATTTGGAAAAATATGCTAAAGCTATCTTTACACTCTTTAGGAGCTTATCTTTAGGATTCTATAGTCCTAATAAGCCTCGTGCCAACATAGACCAAAATGAGAGATGAGATTCTTGTCCGAGACCTAATGAGATTTGTTATCAAGAGCAAACGCATACTACAGTAGTAGCATGAAAAAGCACAGATGAAAGTACATTAAATGCAAGGTACTTTTAAAAATCGTGAACAAGGGGCAGCTTGCACTAGGGGCAACGTGAACTTTACACAGCGTATTCCAGGTTCCTTGTGTTCTAGTTTCACAATGACAAAAATGCAAAGTTGAGTAGTAAGGTCTTTAAAAAGTATCAACTAATCTTACTCGGGTTTAAGCATCTTGCATTACGCTAATCACTTTGTGGGTTGTATTGTATTATTAAAATAAAAAGGTTATACAAATTGTATATTTAAATTCAGTAAGATTATCCTTTACGTAGAGCCCCGTCTTTACAACATGGCGAGCAGATTCACTTTCCTTGTTATTTTTCTTATGCAAATTGTCCGCGGCCGTGTAATAAACTGTGTAACTGGTTGTTCAAAGCCTGCTCTCCTTGAATAATTTAGTTTTCTTTCGTTAATCTCTTGTCCCATGAATTTGGTTAAACAACGAGTATTTTTTGTAACTAAGTTACCTTGTTATATTTTTGCGGTACGATTTTGTACTTTTATTTGCATGAGACATAATTTTGTATTTGTAAAGAGGCCTCTTTTAAAGCAAAATAGATACCTAGTAAAATAACGATATCGTCTTTCACGCAATGGAATAGATAGAGAGTGTCATTGGACAATGACAATGGCTATCAGATCTGTGTTAATTATTGTAATATCTCAGATTTGTGATTGCGTACGTCTCTAGTTAGTAATGGTAGGGTCTGCTATGTTATGTGTAGGGTAAATGAAGACAAAGATCATTTTATTAATGCTCCAATATTATTTCCAGGCCTATTTTCCCTGGGAAAGGTGCTCAACTTCTTCCCGGTGGGCGGCGAGCGGGAATGCCAGCCGGCGGGCTTCACCGTCGCTCGTGCTGGTATCTGCCTCAACGCGTACGACTGCCGACAGCGGGATGGCAAGGCCGCTGGTGACTGCGCGCACGGGCTCGGCGTCTGCTGTGTGTGTAAGTATACTAGCTGCTGTAGCAGTGCTTGCTAGCTTCACCGTGGCGCGTGCTGGTATATGCCTCAACGCGTACGACTGCCGGCAGCGAGACGGCAAGGCCGCTGGTGACTGCGCGCACGGACTCGGCGTCTGCTGTGTGTGTAAGTATACTGGGTGCTGTAACAGTGCTTGCTAGCTTCACCGTCGCTCGTGCCGGTATCTGCCTCAACCGGTACGACTGCCAGCAGCGAGACGGTAAGGCCGCTGGTGACTGCGCGCACGGGCTCGGCGTCTGCTGTGTGTGTAAGTATACTAGCTGCTGTAGCAGTGCTTGCCAGCTTCACCGTCGCTCGTGCTGGTATCTGCCTCAACCCGTACGACTGCCGGCAGCGAGACGGCAAGGCCGCTGGTGACTGCGCACACGGGCTCGGCGTCTGCTGTGTGTGTGTAAGTACATATACTAGCTGCTACAGGAGAGCTCACTTCACGTGGCCGCGCTTGCAGCTGACTTAACTCGAGGGACTGCCGGTAGAGGGACGGCCACGGCCGCTGGTGACTACGCGTACAGACTTGGCGTCTGCTGTGTGTGTAAGTTGACTGCACACTTGAACTTTACAGATTATTGCATTTGGCGAAGGACACATGCAATAGGAGTTACACGCAACCAAATGCCTTTGTTTTACCGAAGATCTAGGCTTATGAGAATCGCGCTTCATCGTATTTGGTAGCACAGCTCTATCTCGTTATCCAACTGAACACCTGAAGTTATTTGCTGTATTTATTTTATTTATTTATTTAAAGGCACAACCACAGAATACAATTCAATAAGATTACAATGATAACTTAACTAGGTTTCACATTTAAATTATATACCATAAATTGTGTATAAATGACGTGCTCCTTAGTAATATCACACTAACGAAGAGCGTATGGGGCTCCACCTCCAGGGTTTTTGTTGATTGATTGATATTAAGTGCCTCCTTAGCCCTGCGTAATTCCGCGAGCGCAACAAAAAGGGCGGATTGATTGTACTCGCCTAATCCTGAATAATAGCGGGGTAGATTAATGCCTTGCTACATCTGTAATTACACACAGCACTCATTTACAAAGATAATTACTGTTAAGTATTCGCAATATTTATTTCATGTATCAGTTATCGGTTTTATTGAAAGAAAGCAAACTGCAAAACTTGTAGAGTCGATTTGAATAGATATTGAGATAATAGTATTACCTAAGTGATAATAAATTATACACTTATTTACTTTTTTATAAAATAGATCCATAACTCATCATAGGTTACTACTACGAGATTTATATGAGCTAGATTAGGCGGTCGTGCAACTTAAAAACTACAACTGACCAGTGCGTAACAAAAAAAAACGTTTATATTCGTTTCTCTCTTAGCAAAAGCAATCGATCATGCAAGAAAGTTTTACTAGTGCCTACTTTCTTGTTCTGAAGTTATTGCCGTTTCGATTGTCGAAACTTATGTTCCATTGTGCTACGTGTAAATACGACCATTTGTTTCAAAGTATACCTGCGGCCAACTTTCAAATAAGACGTTTTGTTTCATGGAATTGATTTTACTCGAACTCGTAGAAGTGGCACGCTGTAGGATTTCTTTGGAACTATGTAAGCACGTGTGGCTATAAAGCGGTCGTGAAGGAAGATTTTAATATTGGTACCGTTTGATTAGCTTATGTTATTTACACACTGTGTATAACAGTGTTATGTAACGTATCGTGATTTCGACTTTAATATTGATATTAGGACCAATTCGACCTTATTCATATAGGTACTTCTTACTTTAATAGTACGGAGGCTTTTTCAGGGCGCTTAATTTTTTTCAAAATCAAGATTATTTATTGTGAAACATTAGGTGTTATATAAATCTTTGGACAATTTCACACAGCGCCAGCTAGCCCCAAAGTAAGCAACTCAAAGCTTGTGTTATGGGTGCTAGCTTAACGGATATACTACTTATATACTTTTTTTTATTTTTATTAAATACATACATATTATACATATTTACACCCAGACCCGTCACAGAAATTAAAATTCATCATTTCAATTTTGCCCCGGCCGGGAATCGAACCCGGGACCTCTCGGCATAGTAGTCCGTTCTGAACCACTACACCAAACGGCCGACGATGTAGATAGGTAGGTATATTGATTGTGATAGTCTCACTATGTTTCCATTCAATATTATCATTTCATGTAAAATTCATTGATTCCGAAATAACTTGCTGTACACTCGAATATACAAGACATTCACTAAAATATTTTATCACATTCGAATCGTTTTGCGAAATTTTGTTTTCCAAAATGGCTGTAAAATAAAACCTCCTGCAATTTATTTATTGAGTTTTCACCTGCACATTTTTTGTCTGAGTGAAAATATTCTGTAAGTAATAAACTATTCATGCAATTGCGTTTCCGACGGGAGCAACTCATGCGCGATGCTATTGGAAATATACGAACATACAGAATATTTAAGTATTTTGTAGTTTCTGAAAATGGCATAGTTCATTTCAGACCTTCTCGTAGGTTGCGAACAGTAATTAGAGGTAATTATAAGTACCTACCAAATCGAACCGCCGACCGAAGGGAGCCGAGATTAAATAAAGATTTGAGTATTGAGTATTGAGTATTGAGCCCAAATAATGGGAAAGGGCTAAGGCAAAGAAGATAAAGATACTTATGCCCGTTTTCATCATCTATCCCTAATTTTTAAGTGACCCCTTTGAAAACAAAATACCATAGGGGTCACTTAAAAAAAACCGGCCAAGTGCGAGTCGGGCTCGCGCACAAAGGGTTCCGTAGCAGCAAATATAATAAACTTATTATGTCAATTTATACACCTGGTGAATGGAGCCTAAACTCTCCCGATATTTTGCCTTGTACTTTTATGTATGAATATTAATTTTATATATGTATTTATAAATATTCCGAGCTAAAGAGGTGGCAAAAGCAATGGCAAACAAACCACAATCAATAGTATTCGGTTGTCGCTGAACACTTGGAAACTGAATACATGACTCCGATAGATACGGAAACAAGGCTTTTACATATATTTTTTGCGATTTTCCTAGAACACCAACAAGACTATCGTACACACGCAGTATTCCATTAATGTAATAAATACAACTCCAGTGCCCCACTAATCCCACGTCACCGTCATAAATTACTTGAAGGTGCGTCTCATTTTTAGGTACAGGTTCAATCAGTTCAGGGTGTTGAAATAATTCTAGCTCACGCGGTCTAAATGATGTGCACCGAAGTAACTTTTCATGAAATGCGCGAACCACATCATCTTCGATATAGTTATTATAATTCAGAATGTAGGAAAACGTATTATCTAAAGTATCCATTGTTAGATGATATACAATAAGCTTTAGAAATTTTAAAAACCTGCTACGAAACACTAAAATTTGCACCAAAAACAAAGGAATTTATATTATTGGGGGATTTATTAGTACGTGACCGGTTTAATAGCACCTATTAAACCAGTATACCTACTTACTTATTTTTTATAATAGGTACAATTCAATATTAAAAAGTCTCAACGCCAAATTCGACTTGCGAAAGAAGTAAATGGGAACGATGAAATTCTCTTAGCGCGCACAAGTGACAACGACGTCTGCCCTCACGTGTCTGCCCGTTCGGGTCGACGCGGTTAGCTATCTTATCCCCGCTCCCGCGCGAGACCACGCCCCGCAACTCACGCGCTGCAGCGCAGCGAGCGACCGATCTTCTTGAATCGATGTAATAATAATCTATAGGATTAACGCGTTTTAAAAATATTGGTTCGATGGATATGTTTAACCTATTATTACTCAACAATCACATTTGTAATATTAAACTTTATCAAATGCACAATGTATTTAAGGTACATTACTGGATAAGGATTAATGGCGTATTGCTTGAATAAGCTAATATTTCTCGTAAAAAGTACCTACATTATAAAGATTTTATATCATCGCGGATTTTAAAAGGTGTACAATACTGTAGTATATTTTTTGATCTATCTTATAAGGTTCAGCCATCGTTTTCAGTGTAAGCACAATAACTTAACCAAAATTACAGTTAAATCAACCTATCTCAAAAACTATAAGAGATACTTTGATCAAACCAAAAATCGTTGAAAGAGTTAATTAGCATGCATCACCTCTATTTTTTTTAGAATTTTATACCCCGTAGTTATAAAAATAGAGGGGGGGGGACATACTTTTTACGACTTTGAGAGCTGATATCTCAAAAACCGTTCACTTTAAGAAAAATGTTTTTTAGAAAACTTTATATCATTTTAAAAGACCTTTCCATTGATACCCCACACGGGTATGTACATCGAAAAAAAAATTTTCATCCCTCAGTTACATGTATGGGGGGCCCCACCCCCAATTCTTTTTTTTACTATTTAGTGTCATAATTTTGTAGCGGTTCATACAACACATATTCCCATCAAATTTCATCACTGTAGTACTTATAGTTTCCGAGTAAATCGGCTGTGACAGACGGACAGACGGACAGACGGACAGACGGACAGACGGACAGACGGACAGACGGACAGACGGACATGACGAAACTATAAGGGTTCCGTTTTTGCCATTTTGGCTACGGAACCCTAATTAGGGATTGATGGTGAAAACGGGCATAAATCAAATCGCACGAATCGAAATTTGTGATCGTAGATTCAGTCACAAATAATAATTTAAAAAATATGCGTTACCCCTTTTTACAGAAACCACTGATAAATCTTACAGTTGACACACTGTGTTTATCGTAATACTTATCAATGTAAAAACAGATTTAGCATAAAGCAATTTGCAAATCTATTAGTTGCCAAACTAGATTAACTGTAACCGCACCAATCACTGTGATGTACCCACGGTAACTCAAGCTACCTTACGGCATCTTATTTCTTTGTAATAGGTGTTATTTTGGAACAAAACGTTTAGCCTGAAGTGCTGCCGTCTGTACACTAAATACACCAACCAACTGATGGTGCTGGACTATTGCAGACCTTATTCAAAGGCAATAGATCTAATATTGGAGTGGTATGAGGAGATAGCCCGAGCCCGTTAGGCCTGACAGGTGGATTAGTGGGTATAATCGGAGTGACAAGTCTGGAAATTGTAAGGGATTTCCAGTGGAGACGTTTTAATCTAAATTAATTGTTTATCTAATAGCTTCCTCCTTCTTGCAATAAATTGAATTATTGGCAGCATTAGTGGCGAGTATTTATGCAGAAATGTAATTTTAAACTTGGCGATTCAAAAGGTAGCGCTTATTGTTCTTACATAATTGTTATTTCTTAATAATTCTTACTCTTGGGTTATTGGTAGCAGAGACAATCTCCATGCTTCAGAAAATACGTTAAAAGTTGTTGATAATCATTGAATTGATTGAAGGCAAAAGAGCACGCGGTCGATCGCCAACTCGCTGGATAGACGCCATCACAAAGGCCACTGAGTCCACCATGGTCCAATATACTCGCGACGCCTCTAACCGTCAGAAATGGAAGCACATCGCCAGGAGAGCTACCCTCGGAGATGACATTACCCCATCATGTACCTTGTCAGCGCAACCACGACCACTCTGACAAGATGAAGAAGAATCATTGAATAGACTTCCTAGGGTGGTTTGATAACATCAGCCTGTATTGGCTCCATACATGTTTCTTTTGCATCAATATTCAAAGCCAACATTATTAAAATATGCAGCAATATTAAACTCCCTTTTATAGCTTGCTCGTAAACTTTTCGATTTCTAACTAATATTAAAGTTACTAAAACATCACTAGTAAAGACTAGCCATAAAACGTGTAACGTGTAGCGGGCATTAAACATGCAGAATGGCACGGTTCATGTCATGGCACTTGTTGGCACGTGTCTGGTCCGTGTCTACACGTTGCAGTTGGCCACGTATGAAATATTGACAAATCTGGCGGTTAGTTATTGGCTTGTTGGCAAATACTAAAGCTTGGCTGCTCTTCTCTTTGAAGCAAATAAAAGAGAGACTTATGAGGTTTGTATAGGAGTGTGTACTGAAAATTGCGGGCTTAATTCTGAAATAAGAAATGCGTCGAGTACATGTAAGGATTGGTTGAAATCTAGACCTAATATAGCAAATTACAACTCATCCATGCCTGGTAGTGGTCTGGTGTGGTAGCTGCCAGTCTCCTTCCACGAATATACTATTGCAACGCGTAGAAGTTGTTATTGCTCAGTAAAAGGAACATTAACCTGCTACAAAACATGGATTATGAACTTTGAAAAATTAAACATTTCCTGAAATATTTTAAACATTTCCTGAAATTTTTCATTGTTGATGTGTTGTTGACTGTACACGAATAGAGTTGGAATCAAAAGACAATGAATACTGAAATATGGTTCCAAGAATTATATTGCTTTTTTTCACAGCTCCGATAAAATGAAATGTGCCAAATATTTCGGAATTAAAAACAATATAAAGGGGTCGTCATGAAATATTACAGTGGGTCCGCTCCTTTTGTTGGTGTAGCATTGTTTCTGCCCACAAAGAGGAAAGCCAAATCGCTCGAAGGCGATTCCGCAGATTAAAACTTACTGACCGAGAGCTAAATAATCTCTTGTTGTGACGCTTTTGTTATTTACTCATTTTATAACATTTTTGACACAATCGCCCTCAATCTGCTTTGTCAAAGAGGAAATTAGCCAAGGTCTTTTTAACGTGTAACTTTTCAGAGTCAAATCAGTGAATACTTAGCGTCTTGATTTTGGGGCTATAGATGTTGAACGTCGTGAGCCGCGCATCTCTTTCAGATTAATTTTAATGATATAAAATGACATAGCTCGCAGAATTGCTAAAATCAAGTGGCAGAGGGCGGGGCACATAGCTCGTAGAGACGATGGCCGTTGGGGCAGGAAAGTTCTCAAGTGGCGACCACGCCTCCTACTAGGTGGACCGACGATCTGGTAAAGGACGCGTCCTGCGCTACCCGCATCCAGGCTCTTCCCGCGGGAAGAGCCTGGATGCGGGTAGCGCAGGACCGTTTTGTGGAAAACCTTGGGGGAGGCCTTTGTCCAGCAGTGGACGTCATTTGGCTGAAACGAACGAACGAACGAAAATTACAGAAACTAAGTTTCCTCTTATTGGTGCTATAATACAGATTAACATTACAGATAACGTAACATTAAGTATGCGTATAGCTATAGCTAAATTATTTTAGAAACCTAGGTACATATTGGTTATTTTACGAGCTTTTATTATTGTTAAATTGTCTGTTATCCAACAATGTACTACAACATCGATATTATGAATTCCAGTTTAAAAATATTTGCCTTGCTCTCATGAGCCTTGCTTGTCTCACATGTGACTTTTTTTTTATCCACAACAAGGAAGCTCTTGGCCTGTATCTCACCTAATGGTAAGTGATGATCAGGCCGAAGGTGGAAGCGAGCTTCACCCGGAATCCTCAACCACGGAGGAACTGGCTGGATCTTACCTCTAACTGCCGGAACACAACAATGCTGTTAACATTGTTGTTATGGCGACAGACTTAGGTAAGATGGTGGTAGCTAGCCAGGCGGACTTAGAACAAGCCCTACCACCAACCAACTTCATTGACAACAACGTACAAAAACGTTACAGAACCGTTTGTAAAATTAGTTATGCAACAAATAAGTTTTTCTTTATTCACATAAGCACCAACGGCATCAAACCATAATGACTGCGTACTGATTGCGGGTCCGTTAACCAAATTACGTCCATCGTCTGCCGGTAAGCGGCTTTTTGCTGAATAAAATGACATTCAATTTGCGTTATGCACTGTAAACAGTGATTTTTGGGATATTAATGATGGATAATGACAAATTCTGTGCGGTTTTAAGGGATTATTGAATGTTTTAATGACAGGTATTGTGGCGTGATTAATTTAATAGCGCTATTAAAGGTATTACGATATTACAGTTATTAAATTATTATTATCTATTGCGTTTTTGTTAGGGTTCCGTAATCCTGACAAGGAACCCTTTTTTTGAGATAGGGCTTAAATAACTATAATTATGTAATAAGTAGACGTACTTAATTATTTGACGTTGTGTCGTGGTCAGGTCATATTATCATTATCACATCTTTATCATATAAATATTTATCACCAGCTCATTTAGGAACTATTGCAGCAGGAACACGACCCTCTCTAATTTATCAGACAAAAGTCTATCAGGTCAGATACAGGCCAAGAACTTTCTCGTTCAGGATTAAAAATTATTTATGAATTCATATTATAGGTACAATCCATAAGCTAAAAGTTCATAAGTATTATAATATCTTCCTTTTACACTATGGCTGGGTTGCACCATCTTACTATAACCAGCATACATCAAAAATCTGTCAAACTCCATAGAAAAAGCACCGGTTATTGTTATAATTACGGTTAAAGTGAGATGGTGCAACCCAGCCTTAGGCCCAGAACAGACGGTGAAACGCAACTGCAACGAAACTACAACTGCTAGTTTGAAAGTTTCAAACTGGTCGCGTCATGTGTGGTCTCTCAACGGACGCTATGGCAGAAACTTAGATGCAACTCAAAAGTAACTAGCAGTTGCAGTTTCGTTGCAGTTGCGTTTCACCGTCTGTTCTGGGAATTAGTGTGCCCAATATCTTAGATTCTGAGCCCAACTCTACATTTCCATCTTCCCGTTTGTTTCTTACAAATATCTTATTCCAGTCGAGGTGACATGCGGGGGCGTGGTGCAGAACAACCTGACGTACTTCCTTTCCCCGGGGTTCCCGGAGCTGTGGTCGGGAGAGCGGGACTGCGACATCACTATCGAAAAGACGCACGCCGGGATCACGCAGCTGCGGGTCGACTTCGTGCACTTCACTATTGTAAGTTGTGTTTATTGTCGGGACTAACTCAGCTCTCATTAGTCGGTTTTATTAGTGTTCAATATGACGCAAGAGCATTGGTCTACTACAAACACTACGAAAATCAATAGATCGTAGGCTCGATCGCATACTACGAGTATAATTATAGTATTTAATAGCATAGCTGGAAAGTCCAATATTGCTTATTTGATACCACAAAATACTAGAAGACTTTAAAACAATGATTCTTGGTGAATAAAGCTCTTATTCTGCTGCTGCTGCTGGTGGGAAAGAGAGACCTAGGTTTAGTAGCTCAAACGATAAAGGGTCTTAATTATTATCAAATTATTCAAAGTTATGCTTGAAATCAGCTCTACATCTTTTGCGTTTCTGAAAGAACTGATCTACATAACTTGATGGGTTGATAACATTGAAGATGAATAACTTGATCAACCGACGATTTAACTTCCTAGTGATTGTAAAATTACCTGAGTAGGTATATTTATCACTTTGTGCACTACATCAAGTAGGTACACGAGTTTATATTATACGAGTATATTTGAATCAAAGCATCCAGGAGATTTTATTGACTATCTCCTGTCTTTTGCAGCGCTCGATAGCATATTTTTACCACATCGCAGCCGCGTCTCTCGCTAGTAGATAATTGAATTATCCGCCATATTCGATCTCTGATCTCATTGCACCCACTAACCAGTATTAAACCGTTTAACTGCAGACGATCCAATTACTTCTCTCGTCCTACGGTTTAAGAATAGTGGAAATCTTCCACTTATCTCCTTTGATATTAGGTATTTGCCGGCTAAGATTAAGCTTGAATTAAAATAAAGGCTATTTCAATTGACTTTAGATATTATTTTATGGATTATGACAATCGATCAACATGGAAAACACACACAGTGTACAGGACAGTTTAATTTTTTATTTTCAGTAATAGCTGGGAATTTTCAGCATAGCTGGGCACCGTTAATCAAATAGTTAACTTCGTTAATCGTTAAACCGTTAATAAAAAAATTAACTTCGTTAAACGTTAAAACGTTACATTTAGCAAGATTTAACGCAAGTTAACGTTAATCGTTAATCCGTTAACACATTATAATAAAACGAAAAAAATAATTGTATGCAAGGTTCTAATAATTTCGAAAGCTTGTATCGCGCATGGAATTTATTCCTCTTTTTAGCCAGACAGTTTTGACAGTTCCAACTCCTTGCCAGAAAGTTTTTAGGGTTCCGTAGTCTTAGCAAAAGATTATGACATGACATGTAGAAGCCTCTACAGACCCCTTAAGGAGCCCCTTAAGAGCAAAATGACGATTTGTAAGAACTATTTATTAGTCCAAACAAATAAAGAAATTTTGACTTTTGACTTTTTGACTTTTAACCAGGAATCCTTATAGTTTCGATATGTCTGGCTGTCTGTCTGTCCGAGGTTTTGCTTTGAAACTATTGGCACTAGAGAGCTGTAAGTTTGTAGAGGTATGTAGTTATATTGATCATGCCGGCAAAACGGTAAATAAAATTTTGAAAAAAAAAAATTTTAGGTTAGCTCCCGTACATGTTAAGTGGGGATGATTTTTTTTAGTCTACCCCATCGTGTGAGGTATCGTTGGATAGGTCTTTTAAAATAGTTTAGGGGTTTCTAAGACCATTTTTCTATTTTAAGGGATCCGTTTGCAAAATGTTGAAGTTTAAAGTGCCAATTTTTGTCTGAGTAGGGGGGCCCTCTAAAAACTAAACTGTTGGCTTAAAAAATTTGGAAAAATTCATCATAATAGTGCTTTTTATGAACTTTCAAGGAAAACTATAGCGGTTAAAATACACCAGTTAGTTCAAGAGTAATAGTCGTTTTACTCATGTATTGTAAAATTTCATTCCTAATAAATTCCTTAGAAGAAAATATTAAAAGTGACTTTAGATTAAGTAATTGCTTAATTCTGAAATGCATATATATTGTGGTAACGACGGACAACTACGGAACCCTACACTGCGCGTGGCACGACACGCACTTGGCCAATTTTTTTAGCATAGCTGCCAAAGCCACGATGACCCAAACTTCATAATCCACCAACATTCTAACCTATATTGGGAGCATACGCTGACAAACTTTTAGCTTTTATAAAATGACGTAGGTCTGGCGTTCACCAGCTCTTAGTCTATAGTATCTCAATCTCAGAGCCTTGGTTCAATTACAATACAATTTAGCACCAATGTGCTCGAAAAGACAAATCCAACAAACCCAAACTCCGATAAGTTTCCACCGTTTCATTTAGGAGTTCCTATGGCCGCCTCCTGACTCCATCATTAGACCAGCTAAATGGTACCACAACATTGCATTTTCATCGTACTTACATAAGTATAAAAAATTGCAGCTCAATCGGTTGAGGAGAACTGGTCTTAAATTCAGTTGCAAGATTTGCCCCATACATATACAATAATATACATATAAGAGTACTTAATTATTATTGTTCTGTGATATATAAGCTTGTAAATAAATAAATAAATAGCATTTTTATATCGTTTCTTTCTGGTTACAAAAACTGTTGTTTTGGGTTCTGGAAGTTCTGGAAGCCCGAACGTACTTGTCAGAACGCTTTTTTCTAGTGTTTTTCAGTATGCCTGCTTTATCTTTTTGGTAAATAGTAGGTACTCGATTAACGATTAACGGACTTAGGATAATTTAACGGAAGTTAACGAGTCCGTTAACATTTTTTAAAGTTAACTTAAAAGTTAATCCGTTAACAGAAATGTTAACTTCGTTAATTAACGATTAACGGATTAACGAGTTAATGCCCAGCTATGATTTTCAGTAATACTGTATGATACACAAAAGTCTAATAGTCCCGTTAACTCTTCCAGATAAGCTAAATGTAGCAGTTTGCAGTCTGGCACTATTTTTTTTTAAAGATTATTAGCAATTTGTATTGCCCAAATTACTAATAGTCTCGTTAGCCCCTCGTGGTAAGCTAAATAAGCTTGTGTTACGAGTGGGCTCACCACAATAGTCGAGCGGCGGTGGGATTCGAACCCGCGTTCCTCGGATCTCGAGTCGGCCACTCCGTCTTCACCGTTTGGCTATCGTGGCTATAATATTGTTGGGCTATTGTCGCCTTGTATTACAATACTGGTTTGACAGAAAATATTGATGCCTTATCATATCAACTTTCACAGGGTCAGCCCAACAGAACGACTGGCGAGTGCGATGAGGACGCCATGACGCTTGGGGAGGGCAGCGGGAAGGTCGTCATTTGTGGGCAAAACCATGGCCAGCATTGTAAGTATATCAAAATATCCATGAAGTTTGAACTGACATCAAGACTTCTACGTTTGTGTCTTTTGGATATACGAGTATCACACATTTTCATGCAACATGATCTATCGATGATGATCCAGTAGGTTACGCATAATTATGCTTTATAATCCCAACTGAATGGCGTAAACCGGTTATTGGCTTTAACGACTGCTATCTGAATAAAGTTTTGAATGCTCTTTTCATTTCTCTTTCTTCTTCTAGTATACTACTCTTTATCCAGTGGAAGCGAAGTCCGCGAGGCAGGAGAACTCCCGAGCGCGAAGAGTACAAAACTATCCATTCGTATGAGAGGGAGCGAGATGCCACGATTATGGTTGCTGCGGCTAGCGCAAATGCCGCTTGCGTATTCCGCACCTCACGATTGCCTACAGTATTTTACAAATAACAATGGTAAGTGTTATCAATATGAAACCTTAGAGCCAAAGCACACGATGCGTTGCGTCGCCGCACCGCAACTATTTTGCCAGATATTTCTATGTAAAACGACGCAGCGACACCGCTCCGGCGTTGCCCCTCTGCTGCAACGCATCGTGAGCTTTGGCTCGTACTTTGTTCTTTAGCCCCTGAACGTAACATCACAGCAATGTCACACAAACACATTGCCGCAACATTTTTACTAGGTGTTATCTTTTCAGGTACAATCAAGACCTTCAATTTCGCCATCAACGGCCGTCATTTGGCAGGGCAGGAGTACAGGGCGTGTATACGCAGGAACGTGGGATTCTGTGCGGTTAGATACGTGCCGTGTGACAGCAGATCGTTTAGAATTGGGCCTGGAGGAAATGCGCCTTTCGTGATGGACCTGGCTGGTGAGTTAAGACACTATATCAATAAATAAATTAGCATTTAATATTTGACGCAAACATGTCTGATGTATTTTTACAAAGCAGCCTAATGGATAATGAGCCTGCCTTCAAATTAACGTGGTGATCTCGAACCTACGACCTGTCTCTTGCAAAAAGAGCAGTTAGCGAAAAAACGCGCGTCCACCAGACACAGTTTTTTTTGTATGTTTGAAATTTTAATCTTATTCAAATTACGTAGGTATAACAACGTTAGCAATCGTTGTTTATTTTCCAGTTAGTAAATTATTTCCAGAAAGTAATTTTATTGTTTACCAGCTGGAAAATATCTTTGTGAAGATTGAGATTGGCTAGGCGAATGGTTTAAAATATTAAAGAGTTTCACAAGAAAAGTTGATTATACTCTTACACTCAGACCTGCAGTACGGCCCTGGGGCCTCTGGCGGGCCGGGCACAGGGTTTTATGGGCCCGACGGGTCCTTCGCACCAGGTTCAGCCACCACCATGAGGACCAACGTCACCGGGGACCAAGTCGCCGATCAAACCCAGAACGGTCTCATATACTTTAACCCTGATTGCTCCTGTAGTTAGGTTCCTACCCCCTTGCTACAAAAAAGTTAAGCCACGATTATATTAACAATTTTAAGCTAACATAGCTGCATAGGGAAACCGGTAAATTGAAACTTACGGGTGTTGTTGTAGGTAAATTATTTAATAATGTGGCTGAAACGTAGTCCCTGTAGTTTTTGATCCTTTACCACAAAAACTAATTACCTCGACTTCTTTCCATTGAGGTTTTCAAGTCCGTAGTCTTAGTTTGCTAGATACAAGGCAAGCATTGCATGATAAAAATAAAAACAAAGTAAAAATACTTATAATGCCTTCATACTTTCATAAAGTACGTCTTGCATGTGGTTCAATATCAATATTTGTTGAAAGCATGCAACCCATGGATTTTCAGTTACGTCCATTCACCATCCGTCCATTGTAGCGTTAACAAAATGTAGATAGATACCTACCTAGGACGATGCCAATATAAACTTTGGTGGCATTCTTCAGGTGTGATGCAGCAAGAACAACTGATGCCAGTCAATGACGCTCAGGTGCAAGATGAAGAGGAAGGATCTGGAGCAGACCCTCAGATGGCACCAGTGGTTGAGGCGAACGTCGCACCGCCTAGTCTTGCTTCTAGGGTGAGAGAGAATACTTACTCTGCTGTCCAGAGCAGTTGAATCTATTGAAATATGGGCGTAAATAAAATATATTTCTTCCTTTTTAAACTGAATTTATATTTCATCAATTAAAACACCAGAAGCTATTATAGATGACCCACGCTGAACTGTCCCACCAAACTAGGGCATGTAATATCGGAAGGTTTTCAATTCCGATATTGGATTCCGATATTAGATCTCAATATCGGAATTCCGATATTAATATCGGAATTGAGTTCATGTGCTATAAAATTAATATTTGGTTATATTCGTAAGAATTCTGGATTGTTTACAATAAAAGAATAATTTTAGTCATTTGGTACAAAACAGCATTTCATAAAATTGAAGTATTTTAAAACCGTTTTTACGTTATGGGTATCCATTGCATTTGGTTTTTTATGTGACAAGAGGCAAACGAGCAGACGGATCACCTAATAATGAATGGTTACTGATAATGAGCCTATATGGACTAGCAAATAATTAAAGTGTTTTTGTAAAATCACAGGTATTAAACAAACTTTTACTCCTTCATTATATTACCCTGTTTTATGTTGGTGGAACAAATTTTAGAGTCATTCAAATCACGTGTTACAAAAATTTTAGAGTGGTAAAAAACTTGAATATGCTTGTAATTTGTTCCTTTGATTATCGATGTACAACTCACAAAACCACTAGCCAGCCATATGTCAGCCATAGGACGTCCACTGCTGAACACAGGCTCCGATGCTGATTTTCACAATGGCCGGTTGGTGGCGGCCTGTATCCAGCGCCTTCCTGCTACTTTTATGAGTTCGTCGGTCCACCTTGTGGTTATGAGTCCTACTTAATTTTTAACACCTGTAATATGTTATTTACCTATGTTCCACGAATAAACGAATTTTGATTTGATTGGATTTGATTACGCTGCGCTTTCCGGTACGTGGCCTCCACTTCAGAACCTTGCTGCCTCATCGTCCGTCTGTTTTTCGTACTAAGGCAGAACCGTTGGAAGACCTTATCACAATGCTCGAAGACCTTAATCGAGTTTCCCAACAGGTAGGCTTTCGGATGAATATGGAAAAAACGAAGCTTATGTCGAATGTCCATGTTGCTCCTTACCCAGTTTCGGTTAGGAGCTCGATTCTCGAGATTGTTGACAAGTAAGTATGTCTATCTCGGACAAACGATCAGCTAGGTAGTTAGATGCAATTTCGAGAAAGAGGTAAATCGTCTAATACGAAGACGAAAGTCTTCAATTAGTGTGTGTTACCATTGATGATATACGGCCTTTGAATATAGGGCACAACGTGTTATGGACAGGGATTATCTTGGTGTTTCTTTACGAGATCTAATCAGAAACGAGGAGCTCCGTAAACTAAGGTCGCTGACATAGCCCGACGGATTAGCAAGCTGAAGTGGCAATGGGCAGGACACATAGTACGCAGAACTGACGGTCCATAGTCTAGTAAAATTAATGTTTGAAAGGGAGTTGAGATGTCGTTCTTTGTTGACCACCTATGGCAAATGCTAAAATTGATTTGGAACAAGTTAAATTAACCATAAATAGTAAAGATATTAAAATATTTGCAGTGGAACAAAAAGTGATGGTGAGAGACATGAGAAAATCATTGGTCTTTGCCAATCATGTACTTTGGGCTTTGTGGCGCGTTTAAACGCTTTGTTTAAAACCTCAATTAAAACTTTTATCTGATTCCGATATTACGATATTGGGTCGCTCAATATCGGAATTGAAATATCGGATCTCGCAGTCCGAGATTCCGATATTACGAGATTCCGAGATTCCGATATTCATGCCCTACACCAAACTCAATGACAGGGGGGCGCTACCATCGTTCAACTATATGGTTTCCAACATGGCAAAAATCGGAACCAGCGATCCGGTATTGACGGTGGCGCCCCGCTGTCAATGTCATGGATAGGACAGTTCAGTATTTTGGAACTATACGCCCGTCTAAAGAATCAGTTGACATTAAGATGACAGTCATCAAAACACAAAGAAGAAAAGTATGCTCTATGGAAGCTATCCACGGAGTTCCGTATAAACAGTAAATTAATTTTTGCACTTCAAATCAATTACATTCAACAGAATCTTCTAAGAAAGTTTTTAGGAATGTAGCCTATGACTGCTATACATTATTTGTGATTAATACAGACGTTCAAGATTATACAGTTCAGTCATCTAGACTGTTGGCAACCACCAATAAAGTCGACAAAGATGTTATGGAAATAGGAACTTAAATAAATCGTGTTTAAACTCAGAAAAAATACTTTTCTGGTTCTTGATATTTGCTTGCTATTATGCAAAACGAATTTTCGAAACTATTAATTCAAAATCGTGACTATTATGGATAGTTTTTTTTTGGTAATAGCTTGACACTAGTACTTATTATTATTTTATTCTATCGCTCACAATTGTGCTACTAAAATATTGTTAATTTCTAAAATGGTTGGGATATTATATCAAGTTTGGGCCCTTTAGTAGTTAGTTACCCGCCTAACTACCATATACCATCTTAATTTACATATTTACGTACTTATTGATTTCCCAATCTCAGTCCTTAGTAATCTTAACTGTGTGTGTATATTCCTAAAAGGTAAATCAAAGGTATCATAGTTATAATAATGTATTCAAACAATTTATCTATACCCATATCAATAACAACAGTCCTGGTTTTCTTACAAATAAAAGTTATATTTCATAGATGCTTCCCCTTTTCAAATTATTTTTAAACCCCTTTATTCTAGTAGATTAGACCCTCATAGACCCGTAGCTAGTCTAACCCAAACTAACCTATCTAGATCTGGAGCTTTATCTGGCCGTCTTGGCTGTGGGGACAGAGCAGAGGCGCCAGGACTTGGGGCTGGAGCCGATGGTCTCCGTACGCACAGCACTACACTAAAGAAGACGACAAGTTCCGATACTATGGCTACGGGAACTTCGGGGTCGGCCTGCAAGGCTACGGCAGGCTGAGATGCACGGATCGCATCACCATTCCTTGCGAGAACGAGTATTTTGTTTCGGTTAGTACTGCTGTTTTATTCTGATAAATGTTAATAATAATATTTAGTTAAGTAGCAACATTGTTACGTAATGCGCGCAGCACTACACTAAAGAAGACGACAAGTTCCGATACTATGGTTACGGGAACTTCGGGGTGGGCCTGCAAGGCTACGGCAGGCAGAGATGCACGGATCGCATCACTATTCCTTGCGAGAACGAGTATTTTGTGTCGGTTAGTATTGCTTTTATTCTGAGGATTGTTAATATTTAGTTAAGTAGTATGATTGTTATGTAAAACGCTCAGCACTACACTAAAGAAGACGACAAGTTCCGATAGTATGGCTACGGGAACTTCGGGGTGGGCCTGCAAGGCTACGGCAGGCAGCGATGCACGGATCGCATCACTATTCCTTGCGAGAACGAGTATTTTGTGTCGGTTAGTATTGCTTTTATTTTTAGGATTGTTATTATTTAGTGTAGCAAGATTGTTAGTAATACGTTCAGCACTACACTAAGGAAGACGCCAAGTTCCGATACTATGGCTACGGGAACTTCGGGGTCGGCCTGCAAGGCTACGGCAGGCAGAGATGCACGGATCGCATCACTATTCCCTGCGAGAACGAGTATTTTGTGTCGGTTAGTACTGCTGTTTTGTTTTGAGGATATTAATATTAAGTTAGCAAGATTGTTACGTAATACGTTCAGCACTACACTAAAGAAGACGATAAGTTCCGATACTATGGCTACGGGAACTTTGGAGTCGGCCTGCAAGGCTACGGCAGGCAGAGATGCACGGATCGCATCACGATTCCTTGCGAGAACGAGTACTTTGTGTCGTGAGAATTTTGTCTGTCACAGAAAAATTTCGTCGCGTGCGTGTAAATTTCTAAAACCGGGTAAAAAACTATCTTATGTCCTTTTCCAGGACTCAAACTATCTCTGTACCTTTAATCAACATTGGTTCAGTGGTTTAGGGGTAAAAGCGTGACAGATAGACAAGAGTTACTTTCGCATTTACTCGTATAATATTAGTAGGGAAGTAGGGATATGTTTTACGAGTAATAGGGATACAAGCGAGCACTTCTTGGAACTGGGTAATGACAGAGCTTTAATTATTATTACTTTGTATTGAATTACTCTGGTAATGAGGCGCCAAATTAAACTACTATTGGTAAATAGATGTATAACATATCCCTTCTTATGTTAGCACCACATTACGCGGAAACTTGAATGCATTTTACATGATATTTGACTAATATCGGGCACATTACGGGGAAGATGGGTACGTAGTACACGCTTTCGGCGAAGTAAGCAAGCAAGTATTATCGAGCTTATGTTTATTTAGAAAAAGAACAAAATGCCGCTAAAAGAACAAAATTATTACGATAGTCTCAAGATTAAGATATATCAATAGGACTTTATCAGCGGGTAGTGAAACCAGCTCTTTTTATTGAGTTTGGTAAGAATATCTCAGAATTACCTGATTTTCCTCAATTATTCACGGAGTCACGTCTATAACAAAAGCGAAATAAAACTCCAAGATACCACTTGAAATGTCGTTCCACAACTTGAATGGGTTCATAAAAATTTACATGCAAGAGTTGAGTTACATTGTCTCGCGCGGTGCCGAGTTCGAGTCCCGGGGGAGGCGCGGATTGTCGAGACCTTTGAACAATGTATGCGATGGAGCTTCGGAGACTGATTCGTCTTGTTATACCAGCTTTATTATTTATCGTCTTTTGTCTACGAGGGCTTTGTTTCGGCGTTATCATTTTGTTATAAGTAAGATTCAAGTTTGTAAATGTTGGCAGATTTTGCTGAAAAGATTTTTGAAACATTTTTAATGTCTGAATAAACAAGAATAGAACAGCAGCTGGCTACTAAGACTGGGTTGCACCATCTTACTTTGACTGTAACAAACGTCAAGAATCTGTCAAAATCCATACATAAACCACCGGTTATCGTCATAGTTACGGTCAAAGTTTGGTGGTGCAACTCAGCCTAAGCCGACATTCTTTTTTCTGTTAGTTACGTAGGTTAAACAACTAAAATCAGAATGATTAAATTAAGCTTTACTTTTGATATGCTAATGGTATTTGTTTGTCTCAAATGACGTTCACTGCTGGACAAAGGCCTCCCCCAAGGATTTTCACAACTACTGATCCTGCGCTGTCCGCGTCCTGTAACATTATCGGATCTTCGGTCCATCGATTAGGAGGCCTGCCTGCTTTACGTCTTTTGGTTCGAAGTCTCCACTCGAGAAGTTTTCTGTCCCAATGTCCCACGAGAAATATCCCCACCTAAGTTTGCCAGTGGTATAAGTTATTATCCATAAGTACCTTATTTCTTACTTCCAGAGCACATCATACATTCCCGGAGTCTGCGACCCTCACCACTGTGGAGACAGCTTCTGCCCAGGGTCAGGGTCTGACTGTCGCGTGGAGACCTCCATCTCTCCCTTCGCGGTGTCGGTCCACTTCGGCCCGCCGCAGCGCAAGCGAAGCCCCGAGGAGAATATTGGAGCTTGTCTACGGTACACGCAGCTGCCGTGTGATGGGTGACCGCCGGGGAGAAGTCCTGGGTTTTGCACCCGAAGGGTGCCAATGGGACCCCAAATAATGTTTTTATTTCCTCATATAATGTGTTCGTGGTTCCGCAACCCAAAGGTGCTAATGGGACCCGATTACACCCATCCTCTGTCTGTTTGCGTGATATTTCATATGAAAAGTATTAGGTAGACAGGTTGTGTACTTTTTCTCAGAATATGTACTTTTAACAATAAAAATACTAAAGATTAAAAATAAAAACTTGTAATAAGGTAGATCCCCGTCCGTACTTACAAGAACCGTACTGTTTCTGTATTTTTTAGAATTGTTCATATCTGATAATAAATACTTTATTTAACCTGTAAATAGCACTCAACACACTTAATTAGGATTTGTTGTTTATGCTCAATTTTAATTAAATAATGGTGCCAACATTGTATTTATTTTTATTTTGTAGATTTTTTTCTAAATACAACAAACTGTGCCATTATTCCACACTGCATAATTATTTAAGCAACTAAATGTAATTTGTACATGTTGTGCAACGTTTCTAAACTTATTGTATCCGACTGTTGCGACTTGCGCGTCATGATGTTAGTTAAATTAATTTTCGATGGCACATCAACATAAATAAATACTGCAGCATAATTATATTATTAGTCGAATAAAGAGCGATTTTGGAATAAAAATAGCTTGCTTGATGTGCTAGCGACTGTACATAGTTATTTTTAAATAAGCAATGTTACTTCCTTATGTTAAACTATAATATTATTTAATTTATTTTTACTATGTTATTATTAAAAAGGTTTTCTTACATACACTTGTTAAAGGACTTTGAGCAATGCTTATTTTGTAAGTAGGTAGTTAAATAATAAATATTTGTTGATAAACATTGATTGTTTAATAAACATTAATAGAGTTGTTTCATTTCTAATTAAAAGCACTAAAGTAGCATAATATGCTACCTATAAAATGAGTAAGTATAAATGTAGAGCGAGAACACATCATCTGTACAAGCTCGTTTCATCATAGATTTATCATTTATACAGGGTGTTAGGTAAATGGGTATACATATGAGCCGACACTAGCCCATGTTAAAATGGGCATATATTAAATGGTATGGTGAAGTCAGAAATTCGATATCATTATTATAATTTTTTTTATTTTCATACAAAATAAATTTTATAATCCGATTTGTATGAAAATTAAAATAATTAAAATGAAAATATTACATTTCTGACTTCACCATACCATTTATATGCCCATGTTAACATGGGCTAGTGTCGGCTCATATACCCATTTACCTAACACCCTGTATACCCTCCGGGTGGATTCTAATAGCGAGCAAGACCTTCAAAAAACTATTCTTCTTAAGATAAATTGACCCTTCAGTACTAAATGACCGTGTACATAAATAACGTCCCAGACCAACACAAGTACTTAGCATACGTTTATCGCAGTAAACTATTGTGAAACCTAGCTGAGACCCGAACCAGTGTATATTCATGCGGGGCATGTCGTTTGTCACCATTTGACGCGGTCGAGCTGGTATGGCCGACTTGCATGCTAAGGACTGGGGTAGACCGAGGATTCTCAAACTGCTAGCTTACTCTAGAATTTGTGGATATCAGATCGAAGAGCTTGTTGTGGTGTAAAACAGAACGAGAGTGAAAGGAAGAATATAATTCGTTTCATCAACGAAGACGCGCCCCACCAATTTTTTGTCGAGGGAAGCGCGGCGTGCGGGGAGTTTGATCCGAGCAATTCGAGCGTCATTATTGTAGTGTGCGTGTGCAGTCATGGAGGATTTAGCGTGTACCGATAATACTCAAACATTAGCGGAAGAATGGTGGGGCGCGTCTTCGTGGATGAAACGATCTATAGACCAAGACGATTACAAAAAAGTGTGACAAAAAGGCACTCGAAAATATTTTACAGGTGACTGTTAGGATTACATATTACACCAAAGCCTTAATGACTGCTGCTTATGATGATTATCATGACTGTAAGCCAGGTCTTACTTTCCCCTTTTCCTACTTGCATGTGGAAAGATACAAAACTAAGAAAAGTGTTAGGTATATTTCATCACCCCAGACATTTTACGAGTATGTTAGGCTGAATAAGATTTGCTGTCGACTAAAGATAAGGGGTTTGTAAATTTTGAGAAACTCGTCTAGACGACCAACTCAGTTCGAGTTAGAACTGTCTGGATCTTAATCTTTAGATTTAGGGTTATGATGACTTTAAAATGGAAACAAAATACAATCTTATCTGGAGTAGGTATGTGACAGGTTAACTAACGAAATACTTAATAGTTTCAGAGGAAATTATCATCCTGTCTCAGTAACTATAAAAATATTTACAGTGATTAAAATTATTTCACGCCTTTAGTCCTATGAAAAAGTATTAAAAACATTATTCATATTTATTTACGTAAATACAATTACAAATACTTACCACACGTCATTATTATTCATCAAATAAATGGTAAATACTGCATAAAACGAAACGCTTTTAACTTAAAAATGAATGAAACGTCTTCCAAATTTGAAATTGCTCGAAGCCTAAACTTTTTTCTATAGTAGAATTCCTGGCTGAATAATAAAACACCTTTGCCTGCCGTAATTATTTTCTATTTTTGAAATTGGAATAAGCAGGTAGCTTTGATTAATCTATGGCGTCGTGTCAGTTTGCTCGACGATTTGACTAAAATTACTGGTAATAATGTAATTTTACATAAAACTTTCGATAAAAAAACTGTTAAAACAATTCTGTGTTTGTGATAAAAGTTTAATTTAGTGCTGTGTGAGTGTGGTTTTTATTTTAGGGAGTGAAGTGTTTCCTGGAATCTATTTGTAGGACGCAGACGGAGTCAGGGGTATGTAGTAATTTTGTAATACTTATCTGTTTGAAAAATCGTCATGATGTCACGTAATCCTGTACATTTTTAGTTCCTTGATTTGTAACGCACCCGCGTGCGTTGCTCAAACTAATTTTCAATGAACTGCGCGGGCGCCTGCGTGACTTACGATGTCTGAGAAAACGTTTGTAAAATCATCGTAACTGTCGACATTTCATATTTTTATTTGATATTTCAAGATACAAATAAATTTTCATGCGGTACAAAGCTACACAGTTGCCAAATGTCATAGATTTTTACCAGGAAACTCACTCCCTCGGGACGTGAGGTAGTTTTCCTTTGACATAACTGAAATCCAGAGCCTCTGGCTATGTGTGCTCGTACCTCCCTACATTAAAATTTTCACCATGACCGACAAAATATCGGTAAATAATTTAATTTTTTTTTGCAGCATGGCAGCCGAAACATCGAGCTGTGAGTACCTATTTCAGTAGCTCTTTTTAAAAAAAATGCGTTGAGACCCATTTTTCTCTATTTTAGAAGGAATTTTTGTCATTATTATACATTTTTCAACGTTATAACGTAAGAAGGTTTATGATAATCAGCCGACTGATTTCTAAAAAATTGAGTTACTTACTCTCATACTACGATCAATGCGATGTAAAGTTACAGTCCATCAGGCTTCTAGGCTATTTCTCTTTCGGCACAGCACGTTTAGAAGATTAGGTAAATATGTATTTAGTTACCTACATCAAATGAAGATTCTTATTGTTCATTTTGTACGCTAAGGTAGGTATTTTTCCATTATGAACTTGTTTGTGATGTATTTTCAAAGTTCAATCAAAAGACTGACCTCTGCGACGAGAAAGAGTGATGCGGGTGGGACCAGCATAATCTACTCCGGTGTGTACAAAATAAAATGCTTCATTATCTTGCACTCTGTACGAAGACAGGCGTAGGATGAGCAGGATTGAATCGAAAACACGCATTGAATTTTCTAAAAATTAATTTTAAGACTTATCTACCCTATGTTACATTATGGTGATGCAAATAAATAAATGTCTATCTATATTTCTATAGATATCTACTTTCCCGACCGGGTTAATACATAATATTTTCCAGCTGGCCGCTTACTAATGCGGCGAAGGCTCCACGTTTATTTAAGTGCAAGTCGACGATTCGTTGAAATTCCACGGGGAGTCCCCGCAGCTGTGAACGGTTCAATTTTGCTGGAAATATTTCACACTAAATTTGTTTGTGGGTAGATTTTTCCCGACGTATCAATGAAACGGAATGTATTAGCGGAATTAATTTGCGATTGAATTTCTTTAAATGGGTTGGGACTCTGTTAGTTCTATTTATTAACCAATCAATTAATCTTTATCATTCACAAATACTTAACGCATAATTGATAACGCAGCGTGAGACGTCCACCCACTAGGTGAAGCGACGACCTGATAAAGGTAACAGGAAGGCGCTGGATGCAGGCCGCTACCAACCGTGTGATGTGGAAGTCATTGGGGGAGGCCTATGTTCAGCAGTGGACGTCCTATGACTGAAATGATGATGATGCAGATTCATAAATAACCACGATTCAGGTTTAACGGTGATGGGTAGGTTTAAAACAAGGCTTAACAGTATTTACTATCCTTAGTTTAACGACTAATATCGTATCTACAGTTATCCACCCTGCCAGAAATGCTTACTTTCATAAAAAGTGTTTGCGTTTTTCAAAATCGTAACGAAGGGCAATTACTAGGTAGTGAATTGCTAGTTTATCGATAAAATAAATCAGCAAATACACCAGAATATTCGAAATAAGTACATAGTGGTTTCTTCCAAGTGATGAACCGAGCTTTGTTAACGAACACAACAGCAATCCAATAACCGGGGTGGTTAGCACGAAGGCCGAAGGAAGATTACAACCGATAACACAAGTTTATTAGTTTGTGTAGCGACCATCCATATTTCTGGACGTGATTGCTTTCTTGGACACGGATTTAGCATCATTGGATGCGGCAATTTATGGGTGCATCAAAGTAGTTTCTAAAATAATAATTATTCTTAGTTAATTTCCAAATAACACTAGGTATTTTGGTAGTCAATATTTTATTTATAAATATTACAAAATTTGTGTAGATAGGAAAGTTTGGTAGGATTAATGAATCGAAGTATGAAATCACGTAAGAAAATATTGTTGTAACTTTTAATCGAAATTTACGTAATCGAAGTAGCAGGCTAAAATAATTGTTTGGTATCCTAAAATCTACTTATGTTTTATAGCAAAAGGCGGCATTTTAATTTCAGTTTATGACAAGATTAAAATTATTTTGTCGTTTAGAGAAATGAGAATGAAACGGGATTTTGTGCTTAACCTACTTTTTATGACGTGTATTCCCAACTCATACTTTTCTCTAATTAGTGAGCTTCATGAGAATAAAAGCTTTGATTATCCAGTCTCCAATAGGGTGTAAATTACATACTATTGTTTACTCGCTACACCATAAAAGACCTAAGATCATTACAAAACAGAAGCTGAGGCTTCTATCTTATTTGTTCGTTGTCGTTGGTGTGAGTTTGCAGAGCTTAGCTGGCCCTACACAGGGTAGTCCAATCTAGCTGCAATTACATTTGCATGCGTGTGTGGCTAGGCCGAGTACACTCTTGGTAAATTCCTTACTGACTGAATCTGGGACTTTGTAATTTCTTTAATCGAATGATTCCGATTAGTATGCTTCCCAGTAGTTCGAGTGGACTCTTAGTCCAGTGATTTGATTTGACTTTTGACTCAATGAGGGTTCTGTTTGTGTAATCACTGTGTATCTTTAATTTGGTTGATTACAATTTGGTTAATTAATTGAAAACTTAAATAAAACTCATTTATCAAGAATAGGTATGATCTTGCTTTTGGTAAGCATCTTTAGCCGCCCGATTGAGTGTTGACTAGGTAGGTACAGTTAAAAACCTCGCGATAGAGAGAGATCAAATATTCTAC